CTGTAAGCCTGCCAGGGTCAATGGAGGAAAGGCGGATGGGGAAGCAAAGACAACTAGACAGCAGACAACAATGTGTTGGAAGCTACTTTTTCCTAAGTTTCCTTTTCATCAACATCGGGACAAAGTAGCATGCAAACAGTGAGGAGAAACAGCTCAAGGGGAAAAGCCAGGTCTTTAATATTTGTGAGGAGAGGAAAGCCACAGAGAGGGTGTTTCCTCTGGCCCCGGGGCCAGAGCTGCGGTGTCCACTGCCTGCTTGCTTGCTTGCCTGCCGGCCTGCCTGCCTGCCTGCGAGTGAGGATGTTTGATCCCCGGGAGCCTGGGATCCCTTGAAAAGCTGCACACTCGTTGCTGAGAGTGGTTGAGTTTTTGGAAGCTGAACAATCGAGTGGCCAGAAGTTTGGCGGTCGCTGCGCGCAGCTGCTCCGGAGCGAACCGCCACGAGACCCGCTTAAGGGATCGCTGGGGGAACGGCCACGGAACTGCGCGGAGAACCGCGACATGTGCTTTCGCCACAATTTACAGAGCTGCGTGTTGTGAAATAGATATCAGATAGTAAGTTATTTTGGACACAGTACATGTAGGGTGTGAACTCTACCAGAGCCAGGACCAGTTAAGTCATGAACTGTTTCACATGCGTTTGTGTATCCTCTCGTAAAACATTTCACTTACGTTCGGAGAGAAAGTTATAGAGCTCAAATGCAAAAGACAATCACCATTTTTTAAAAACGAATTTAGTAAACTATGCTATATTTCAGGGGTCCAGGTTAAAACGAATAAATCCTTTAGATATGCAAATGAGAGGCTAATTTGGAAAGACATCTCGTAAAACCAGACAACTCCAACATCAGAAAATTCTTCATGAAACCCTGATATTACATTTTTAAACACTAACATACATATTAAAAACAACAAACAAACATGTAATTCTGTCTGACAAAAGTCCATTAGCATATTGCTAGCAGCGCAAACATCTGTCGGTCCAACGGTGACCAGACATCGCTTTCCCCCCCAGACATGTCCACTGTTTGTGACATTAAAAACAAATCTGGCCAGGTTTTTATGATTGTACGGGAACACATGACCTCAGTTGGCATGTATCCTTCCGTTTTGCTGTGACTCACATTTCTCACATTGGTCGTAAGCCATATTGTAAAAAGTAGAAAAACTCCAGTCGTTGTAGAGCTTTTCAAGCAATCACGGCGGACTATTTTTCACATTTATTTTTATGTACTCTTTTATGGTTAGATTTCAAACATGTGAACATTAGCATTCCAGACGCTGGACGACCAATTGTTCATCATGTCACGTTACACGGGGTTAGGTTGAGTCAAGACCGACTCAAATTTGGCGACGAGACACTACCTCTGTCTGTCACACGTCTGGCGTCGGCAGAAAGTGAAAATAAATGTCTTCTAAATTTGACACACCACAGAGCAGTATTGTTTTTAACTTTGCAAGGTGGACTTGATCACCCAAGCGTTAAATGCGCAAGCTGTGTCAATCTTAGTTTAGCTTAGCAATGAGCATGGCTTTTCTGTGTTTCTCTGTAATCTCTTCATGAGAGCAATATTTCACAAAAATGTAGCATATACCCCGCCATATACGCGATGATTACTTATAAGTAGCTCTGCATTGTGTTTAGCCTCAGCAGGAGCCAGCTAAAGCTCATTGCTAGCTAACTGCTGCGGCCTAAGTAGCACTGAGCTATTCCAGCCTTTCCCTCCGACTGCTGCTTTTCCTCCACCTTAACGTGCATGTCCAGCATAGGGACCGTCTCTGTGGTAGATTCTCAGTTTACTGTTCAATGTGTTTTGATGAGGCAAAAAAAAAAAAAAAAATGCTAATTCTGCCTTGCAAACTGCCTATAGCGAAACTGCTTATTTCGATCCTCGGTCATGTGGCTTTTATTTGAGCTAGGTCGACTGAAATGGTGCAAAACGGTGAAACGCGACATCTCAAGTGTCGGTCTCTTCACATTTTTGGCCATTTTAATCTGTGAATTGATTTCTTTAAATGACATGGCAGGCCGAGGCTGTACATTGCAGATCCTCACAATAGAAAGACACATCAAAACATCAGAGAATCCCACTAAATGTGACATACACGTATACACAGTGAAACAAATAGTCAACATTCCCAGAGGCATTGCTCATGATAGCGGTGTACCATTTTGGGGGAAGCCAGCAGCTGTTTCTCGTATCTGAAGCAAAATGTTCCCAGGCTATGACCATGACACCCAAATCCATAATGATCGGTATGGCCGCTCAGACCCACATCGCATCCGCCACGTGCACTCGCGTGCGCGCACGCTGAGGATTCCCAGACATTGTTGGCGATGCACCGAGCCCGGTGCTTCCGTCACCGTGTGTTGAAGTAGCGCACAGGCGACCACATCAGGGTCTCTCGCCCCACCCTGCTCACCCCGCAGCAGTCGACGGGCAAGGTCGCCTGCCTCACTGCGTTTCTCACAAATGCGGGATGAAGTGAGTCAAATATGCTTGGCTCTATATGCAAATACGCTCAGCAACCACAGACACGCACGCACACACACACACACACACACACACACACACACACACACACACACACACACACACACACACACACACAGTGTCATACTTAGGCTGACCATAAGCATATGGAATCAAACCAGTAATGCCTTTTTAAATATGAGATTTTGTTGGTTGATCCTGGTTGATGTTCTTGTGGTTGTGGTTCATCTTCAAAATACATGAAATGTAAAAAAAAAAAAAAAATGCAGAAAGAATGCCGCTTGCATTTCAACCCAAATTCCTTATGGGAGCCGTACGAACTTTGCCGAGAGCTCAGTTAGCTTGTTTTTGGTGTTCATCTAGCTCAGGGGTAGGGAACTCCAGTTCCTCGAGAGACATATCCTGCCTGTTTTCGGTCCTTCCCTACTCCAACACACCTGATTCGATTGTTCAGCCACACCTGCTTTGTGGAATCTTGCTGTCCGCATCACAATTGGACAGCAAGCAAAAAAAAAAAAGGAAAATGTCATGTATTGTCCACTTAACACTTCACAACTCGCATTCTAATATTCCTTTCCCTGTGGTCCATCTCTGACGTGCGTTAGGCCCGAGTTTTGCATCCAACTTGGTGTTCCAGCCACTTTAGAATCCCCAAACCCTGAAGTCATTTTTCGAAAGAGCGATGATGACACTGTTTGACCCCGCCCCGGGGTCAAACCTATTTGAGAGGTTATAAACCCAGAAGTGGTATTCTTCTCCCTCTGTAATTTCAGCAATAAATGACCTGATGACTGTGACGGGGGTGTTAATTGGGCCTTTAATGTGGCCAATAACATCCAGCTGAGTAACCACCGAATGAGGAACACGACAACAAGCAATTGAAACACAACAAACACACTATAAAACAAATTACTTGAATAATAAGATGCCATTTTTTCATGGGGTGAAGTGGGACTTTTAAAAATGTAATTCCATGTTATTCATGAGCTCCTTTGTTGTTGGTTTTTTTTTGAGCGGCATAAAAAAATAAAAAAAAAAAAAAAAAAAAATTCTCATATTTTGTACACTTTAACAAATATTTTTTTGCGATTTTACAACCCCAATTTCTTAAAACGACGGTGTGGAACGTTCAAAAGGCAGCCCGTCCTCTCCTCTCCTCCTCACGGTTGGCAATAGATCCAAGTCCCAAAGAAACAGAGGCCGCATTAGTCCTTGCGCTGAGAACCTGTTGGACACCCAGATAAAGTTGCATCCGAGCAGATATGCTGAGACGATCGGCTTGGCCATTGAACTAATAATTTCATCGGAGTCCTCAAAGGCGACAACTATCCATTCATTTGATGCGAGTAGGCCTCACCCTATCATTTTGCGTCAGCCCTCATCACAGGTTACTTAATCTGCCCCTCAATCAAAGTTGATGTGCGGAGAGCGCATCGTGAAACATCTTGGACGGCTAGAAAACAGCGTGCTGGCACCGTTTGAATACAGGACATTTACAGTAATTTTCCCCCGAGAAATGACGGTAGCATCTCGTCAAGCATGTTCACTTGAAGCCCGCTACGCGGCAATACGGAGTACCGGTATTCCTCAATTTTAGCCTCCAATGTACCGGGACATTTTACGGTATATTGGGACTTTACATGAGCAGGCTGGTGAAGCGGTATCGGGGGGTGTAGTATCGGTGCATTTTATCATCACAACCGTATTTTTTTTTTTTGTGGCACAGTATTTCAAGAACATGAGAATTGTTATCAGTGATGAATGAATGAAGCTTTTTCATCTAAAAAAAAAAAAAAAAGTCAGTTTCATCAAGCACTTAATTTGAATTTGTTATTTCGCAGGCTCCTTTTCCATTTTTGCTTCTCTTCCTTCACACACAATATTAATTGAAGCAGTTTGCTGCAATTTTTTTACCGTGCGTCACTACCAATTCCCGGCAATTGCAAATATTGCTTTGCATCTGACCTGGCCCTGCCAAAGCGAGCAAAGGAGACATCAGAGAGAGAGAGATGGACTTTAAGCTCTGGAGGCCGAAGCCACAGAAAAAAAAAAAAAACAAACCTCTGTGGATGCCGCATCCATCATCGTCACGGTACTGCGATGGGAAGAGATTTCTGACCTCGCCGGCAGATGTGCCTGCTGGCCTGGCATCGCCACACATTTGCAATCCTGACTTCACTTTCTGGTTCCTCCATCCATCCACCCGCCCTCCCCAGCGTACTTGACAAGTGCTTTATAAACATTTACTTTGCTCGCTATTTCTGAGTATGTAACGTCCCGATAGTGAACGTTGACATCATTATCAAACAAATCTTTCCCAGAGGTGGGTAGACTAGCCTAAAGTTACTTGAGAATAGTATGACTCAAGTATCAATAAAAAATACTCCTCCAAATAAATAAGTCCCGAAAAATCGACTCAAGTAACTCGTGAAACAGCAAAAGAAGCCCTCGAAAACCGCAATGTGTTTTCTCAAGGTCAAATGAAAAAAAAAAAAAAAAAAAAAAATTCTCATATTTTGTACACTTTAACAAATATTTTTTTGCGATTTTACAACCCCAATTTCTTAAAACGACGGTGTGGAACGTTCAAAAGGCAGCCCGTCCTCTCCTCTCCTCCTCACGGTTGGCAATAGATCCAAGTCCCAAAGAAACAGAGGCCGCATTAGTCCTTGCGCTGAGAACCTGTTGGACACCCAGATAAAGTTGCAGCCATTTGTTACGTTAACAAAAAGGGCAATATTGAGTCAAGATCTCAAACAACATCTTTAGGCCAATTTGTCAGTCCCGCGACCGAGCGTGTTAAACTTTCCTGTGAGAAATGATCCTCCCTCGCCTGGGCGTCATCTGGATACAATTGTGTCATTATGTCCGCGTCGCGCCTGTTTAACGAGTCCGAAACGAACCGATATTTTCTCCATCTCCGACGCCGCGATGGCAGCCTTCCCCTTTGCGCCACACATGACGCTCCCAACTGCAGGAAGTCAGGTCACTCCTGTCAAGGCAAGTGGGACCCCATTTGACCTCTGACCTCACTTTATGCCTACTATATCCCAACAACGGTGACTCAACACAAACACCCGACGGACCCTTACCGTAAGTCGCGGCTCTTGTTCCGGGAACATTTAATATCAACTGAAAGGGTTTGCGAATGTCAACAGCTGCAGGGGGTTTTTGCAAGAAAGAAAAAAAAAAAAAAAGGGTTGGCCTGAGCAAAACAATCCGGGGTGGATTATAAATAACTTGTTATGATAACACATTGTGATACCGAATACCTTGAACGCACTATGTGAACACTGCTTTTCAGCCAGGTCCTTAAATTTGATTTTAGACTACTTTTTTTTAATTTTTTTTTTAAGATATCCGAGCAGATATGCTGAGACGATCGGCTTGGCCATTGAACTAATAATTTCATCGGAGTCCTCAAAGGCGACAACTATCCATTCATTTGATGCGAGTAGGCCTCACCCTATCATTTTGCGTCAGCCCTCATCACAGGTTACTTAATCTGCCCCTCAATCAAAGTTGATGTGCGGAGAGCGCATCGTGAAACATCTTGGACGGCTAGAAAACAGCGTGCTGGCACCGTTTGAATACAGGACATTTACAGTAATTTTCCCCCGAGAAATGACGGTAGCATCTCGTCAAGCATGTTCACTTGAAGCCCGCTACGCGGCAATACGGAGTACCGGTATTCCTCAATTTTAGCCTCCAATGTACCGGGACATTTTACGGTATATTGGGACTTTACATGAGCAGGCTGGTGAAGCGGTATCGGGGGGTGTAGTATCGGTGCATTTTATCATCACAACCGTATTTTTTTTTTTTTGTGGCCCAGATTTTCAAGAACATGAGAATTGTTATCGGTGATGAATGAATGAAGCTTTTTCATCTAAAAAAAAAAAAAAAAAAGTCAGTTTCATCAAGCACTTAATTTGAATTTGTTATTTCGCAGGCTCCTTTTCCATTTTTGCTTCTCTTCCTTCACACACAATATTAATTGAAGCAGTTTGCTGCAATTTTTTTACCGTGCGTCACTACCAATTCCCCACAATTGCAAATATTGCTTTGCATCTGACCTGGCCCTGCCAAAGCGAGCAAAGGAGACATCAGAGAGAGAGAGATGGACTTTAAGCTCTGGAGGCCGAAGCCACAGAAAAAAAAAAAAAAAAAAACTCCTGGGCGCCGCATCCATCATCGTCACGGTACTGCGATGGGAAGAGATTTCTGACCTCGCCGGCAGATGTGCCTGCTGGCCTGGCATCGCCACACATTTGCAATCCTGACTTCACTTTCTGGTTCCTCCATCCATCCACCCGCCCTCCCCAGCGTACTTGACAAGTGCTTTATAAACATTTACTTTGCTCGCTATTTCTGAGTATGTAACGTCCCGATAGTGAACGTTGACATCATTATCAAACAAATCTTTCCCAGAGGTGGGTAGACTAGCCTAAAGTTACTTGAGAATAGTATGACTCAAGTATCAATAAAAAATACTCCTCCAAATAAATAAGTCCCGAAAAATCGACTCAAGTAACTCGTGAAACAGCAAAAGAAGCCCTCGAAAACCGCAATGTGTTTTCTCAAGGTCAAATGAGTTCTTGTAGGCTGAAATGTGGACATTTTTAGGCAGGCACGCATGAGAGTTCTTTGTAATCTGTAAATTAAACATAAATTGAAAGTGAGACTCGTGGTATTGTGGCTCTCGGAACTACAAGTCGCCTCTCGCGTGTTGTTCCTGTCGGGTTTCGTGTCAATTTGTCACGTTCGGTTGAATCCAGAAAGTTGAGAAAGTAAATGGAATGGAGTCAATGTATCACGTTGCTTCCTCCCCCGATCTGCCATTTTCTGTTTAATAATATTTATGGACAGTCGGATTTCATGTTCTGCGGCTGAAGTTACTCAATAGAGATATTACACCGTGGGTTAAGCTAACCCATCCAACAACGGTGACTCAACACAAACACCCGACGGACCCTTACCGTAAGTCGCGGCTCTTGTTCCGGGAACATTTAATATCAACTGAAAGGGTTTGCGAATGTCAACATCAGGTTACAGGGTGCATGAAAGGGTTAAAGTAAAAAAAAATACAAAATCAAGTCAATTGTATTTCAGTTTCGTTTAAGTGTCAGTATATCTGTAATTTAGATTTCGTTTTGTCATTTTGAACACGATTGGACTGACCCATATCGGAACATTATTGCTGTTTATGAGAAATCAAGGTGACAGGCGGGTAATATGTGGCTCTCTTAAAATATGTGGACCATTCATCCCCGTCTTTGTCTCAATTTGAATTTGCACCCTTTCGCTCTTACCATACCTTCATGTTGACCCGTTTTCTCTAAATTGGTTCCTATAAGTCCTTCAGTGTCCTGACAGTATCATTACCTTGTCTAACTCTTTCTCACGCCTCCACTGGAAAGTCCCCAAAGTGAAGGAGCGGCATCGGGAGCCTTGACGGTGTTTGGGTCACACTGGTGAGAGGAAGGCACGCTACTGGCAGCTGGCCGACCACATTAGAGGACTTTTTTCCCCCAATGTGTGCTCACTTGTGTGTGTGTGTGTGTGTGTGTGTGTGTGTGCGTGCGCACGCGCTGGTGTATGCATGTGTGTACAATAATAAGCGCCCTTCTGCCTGT